TATATTCACTTAGATAAATAAAAAAATCAAAATATACGTTATCCTAATTTATTAGCTCTTCAAATGTTGGGTTCGAAAAGGTAAATTGGGTTTCAATCAATTGGATCATGCAATTTTGCCTAAATCAGTCCGGCCTATGAAATTTGGGCGTATTCCGTCACTGATCGGTCTAGCTCGGGTCGTAATTGTTTTTAATTTGTAATTACAATTTGAAAGCCGCGTAACATATTGCAGATTCTTATGATACGTGGATTCAAATTTTAAAATTATTATTCATTACGGATACAAATATAGTTTTTGTTTTTATTATTTGAATTTAATTTTTGGTTATAAAATCCAAATATATATTTTTCTAATAATATCTATATCTTATTCATCCAATTTTTTAGTAAATTTGAATCTGTGCAAAATCAAATATTTTACATTTAATTTATAATTTTAAATTTAAATTTTTATATATTTATATATTTGATGAATAATAATAATAAATTTGAATTTAAACAAGAAGATCTAATTTATGTATAAAATTAAATTCAAATTTTTTAGATACATTTATGAATTCAAATTTAAACAATTCAAAAATTATATATATTCAATCGTCACAATTTTTAAACCTAATTGGATATGTCAATTAAAGGGGGCAAATCAATGAGTTCGAGTCAAGTTATTATGGATTTGGACTAATTAGATTCAGAACCTTTCGAGTTTATGTAGTTGATTCTGGTTTTTTTTTTTTTGAATTTAGATTTTTTGTGTTTATTTTTTTCTTGATTAAGTTCTTTTAAGTTCAAGTTAGGATTTTTTTAAAATTTTAAATATTTACATATATATATATATATATATATTAATAAATCATATCTATAATATAACAAGGTACCAAAACAAAAATCCTAATTATATCATGTTTGTATTTCTCTATCTGATATATAGGTGTATACTTCGGTTAATTGACACATCATAAATATGAACAAGTGTTGAGTACATTGCATAAGAAAGGTGTTGAGTGCAAAAATAAGATATATTAGATTAATTTGAGAGAATTTATATTTGAATTTTAGAGATAATATTATTATGATATAATAAATATGAGGACAGTCATAAACAGTAATACGAATCATAAACATAAATAAAAGACGAATATTAAAATCTCAAACGTGAAAGCGGGGTGCTAAATTACCATATTTTTTTTTGTGTTGTGTGCGTATATATATAAGCTTTGCTGTTTTCTTAACTCTCTGGCTTTGTTATTCGACTGATTTCCGACAACAAATGGGAATGAAGCAGGTTTTAAATAGTATTCGTACTCACGTTTTCGGTCACGTCGCATCGCATTTATCACGATTACGGATAAAACGGATGCTATTACGGTCAATTCGGATATTGCGATCGTGTTTTTTTTAAATGAGCTGAATTTTTTAATAAAAAACTTTTTTTAATTTAAAAAATTAAAAAAGGGAATAATAACGGAATTGTGATCGCTATTGCCGCGATTGACCGTGATCCTTTAAATAGCGGTTGTGATCCGTCGTTATTGGTGTGATCCCGCTTCACACCGTTATTTTTCGTTATAGTGGTTTTTGACACCACCGCGACCGTGATATAACGGCTGCGATACTACTATTCGAACGCTATTTGAAAATCGAAAGGAAGTAGTGATGTCTGTCATCAGTTAGCTGCTGATGATGAAGTGGTCGAGAATCGGGTATTCATCGCAGGTAGTTTACATGTACAAATGAAGCTTTTTTTTTTCTTTTTTTTCTCTGTAATATCGGTAGTGATTTAAAAGTAGGTACAAAGATTTTGAGTCTATCTGCGAAAGCAAAACCCTAAATAAAATGGAAACCTAACAGCTGTTGTGCATGTCAGTCGGTAAAAAGCCATTTGCTGCCTAGCTTTTCCATCAATGTTGCTCAACCCTAAATTAAGTTTGGTTTCAGGATTCGCTGACAACCAAGCTCATAGTAGGTCATCTCATTAATGAAAATATTTAAGATTTGTTTAATGTAAAATATTTTTTAAAAAATATTTTTATCATTTTTCAGTGTTTGGTTGAAGAAAAACTGGTTGATTAATGTAAAACATTTTCATGGTCAAAAGAATTTATGAACTTTTCACCTCAAAAAATAAATACTCAAAATAATTTTATTTTATGAATTTCATATTAATAAAATATTTTAATATCATTTTAATCAAAATATTAATTATTAAAATATTTAAAATATATTTATTAATATTTATAATAATATAATATAATATTTTTAATATTATAATAAAATAATCAATTATATTATAATAATATAAGATATTATATTATATTATATTTTAATAATATATAATATATTATTAATAAAATTTATATTATTTATTAATTTCATAGAAATAATATTATTAAATTATTAATAATGAATATTATTATTTATATATTTAATATTAATATAATCATATAATAATATTTTAATAAAGATATTTAAAATATACGAATTATATTTTTAAAATATAATATAACAATATTACTTTAATAAATAATTAATATAATTTATAATATTTTTATTTTAATAAAATATACCAATATTAATATTTTTATTAATAAAATTATAAAAATAATATTCTAATAATAAACAAATTATTTTAATATTTTAAAAATAATAATATTAAGTTTTATGATAAATAATATTATTTATTGTATTTTAATATTTGTAATAAATAATTTTAAAAAAATTAATCAACTAGTGAAAAAAGGGTTTAAACATAGTATTTCAAACATCGTAAAACGTTTTTCAAAAAATATTTTTTAGAAAATGTAATTCATTCTACGAAAAATATTTTTTATAAAAAGTTTTCAGTGAAATAAACGAATCCTAATAGTAAAATGAGAGATTGTGTTTTTATAATATTAGGGATGATGTTTCCTTGTAAAACTTTATTTAATTTTATATGATTAAATTTTAAATTATAATATAAAATTAAGACATTTGATTTAAATATATAACCCATAGTCCTAATCTTAAGGTGAAATTCCATAACACCTTCCTTTATCTGAAATTAAGAGTGCGTAAAATTTCATTCAATTAGAAAAATAATCAGATCCAAAATTTGTAGATTTGATAATATTAAAAAAATATATAAATAAAATTTGAATGATAAAATATGATTCATAAATTTGACCAACTTATATTTTTTAATTCGATTCAATTCAACTCAATCAAATATTACTACAAAATAACTAGGTAACTACAATTCTTATTTTAACAATAAATTTACTCTTTTTACATCTAATCTTTAACTTTACATTTTATTCAATTTGATCTTTTATTATTTTTTTTTATTATTTCTCCTCATCAATTACTTGATTACTTTATAATCTCATCAATACTTTGTCTCAAAATACATTTTTTGAAAAATAAAATTACAATTATATTTTAAATCTTTATCATATTTTCTTTATTAATTTAAGGCTTAATATAAAGAAGGTTGTCCAAACTGACAAATTATACTTCTTTTCTTATTTTGGTATCTATTTTTTTTTCTCAATGTAAGTGTCTAATTTTTCAATTAACATTTTAAATGTTTACGTCGTAACAATTATTAAAAAAATTCGTTATATGAAATGTGTTGCGTTTATATTTTTTAATTTTTTTAAAAATCAAAATATTACTACTTTAAAAAAAATCTAAAAGCAAACATGAAATGGCTGCCTGTCTCTCCACTAATCCACTGCAGCAGAGCATAAATGAAGGCAGCCGGCGATGACTCCATAGCAGCAACACATCATAGCGAAGTAAAGTCTGAAGGCGGCCGGCGTTAAATTTAATATTTTATAGGATTCCCGTCTGTGATTAGTAATTAGCATTTAGGGAAAGTTATACGGTACGACACTTTAACATAATATTAAAATAAAATATTATTGATTTTGTTATTGTTTAAATAATAAAATCGGTAAAAAATTATTGGTAATATTATTATTTTTAACTAAACATTATTTTTTAATATTTTCGATCATTTTTTAGCGTCTAATAATATTTTCGGTAATTTTTTTGAAAATCCGATTAAAATGCTCAATAATAATAAAATCGATCATTTTTAGCGCCTAATAATATTTCCGGTAGCGCTTTTTTTAGTCGTATATTAAGGCTGTCGCACGTGATCATTCTCTAGATTTAGGATTGAGTAATTGAAATTTTAGAGATTTAAATTTAGACATTTGAGAATTTAGGGGTTGAGGCGATAACAAGGGTGATGGTCGGTCAGTAAGTGGATGACGATAAATAAATAATTGTTCGATGACGGAGGCGGTGGCCAGAGATATCAACGACAATAAAAGGATTAAAATTAGAGATTTTAGGGATTTTGATTTTTTTAAAAATAGATTATTTTTAAAAATAAATGTTTTTTAATTTTTTTTAAAAAATAAAATTTTAATATATATATAAAATATATATCATATAACGAGATTTTTTAACGATTATCACATACCAGACAATTAAAATGATAATATTAGTAACGTTAGTTATTTATATTAACTTAAAAAAATTTAAACATCTAAATGAGAATGATGTATAGTTTAAATAATTATTTTGTATTGATCTTTAATTTAATAAAATTAATTATTATATCTTTCAATATCAAATCTCAACCTATATATAATATATAATCACATTTTTTGTTCTCAAATGAAATAACACATATTATATAACAAAAGTAAGCAAACGGTCCAAACCTAACAAAAAGCATGTTCCAAAGCTAATAAAGAAAAATATACTTTATTAAAAGAAATTCAGAAAATTTGGGAGGGCGATCGATGAAAGGGAGAGAAAAGCAAACTCAACCAAACTACAAATACCCGAGCTCCACGTAGGATATAATATATATATATTTATTATAGAAAAAACAGTTACAGTTATTTAAAACTGAACAAGGTTAAAAGAAAATAGAGTAATATTTTAACAATGAGTATTTATTTAATAATAATAATAATAATAATAATTTAAAGCGAAGCTTAATTCTTGGTAATGTCAGCTCTGGCAGGTTCGATAATCGAGATTCACCAGCTGCAGCCGTGAGCCTCGCTCTCTTCTCCACCATTACCGATTTCTCATCTTTATCGATATTTTTTCTGCTTTCGGTTTTTCTATGTTCTTTTATTTTTTGTAATGTTTGCCTCTCTCGATCCAAGCTGAAAAGATTATCAGCTCAAGGACTCGAACACATGGATTTTATAAAGCAAATCAATATTCAGGTACTGCTTTTCCCCCTCCAATATGTCTAATTTCATTTTATTTTTAAATTTTGATCGATATGCTACTGAATTTCGGTTGAAACTTTGTTGATCATGTATTTTTTATATATTTCTTTTAGCTTTTAGCTTTCGGTATACATAATCCCGAGCGACGATCATGAAAAATAAGATTTGTTTCTTTTGTTTTTCTTTTTAGATTGGTTTGCATATTCTTGCTTTGGATCTAAGGTGGTCTGATTGATTCTGGGATCTGTAGAAGAGGGAGGCAGTTGTATGCTTAAAATTCTAGCTAAATTGTGTCTTTGGATAGGGAGACGCTAATATCTTGCGAATTTTTTTACCTAATTTTTGTTAAAGTGGAAGCGGCGTTACATAAGTGTTGGATTTGATTGAGGTAGTGTTTGTATGTATAGGGGAATACTATATATTGACTGAGTGGTTGTAAAGTTAGTTGATATGAGAATAGCTTGATTATGAATTATCAATTAGTGAGTTGAAGTGGAAAAGAGTGGCTGAAGGAGCTAAGACATTGTGTATGCAACTAAATAGACACGGGAGCTTGTTTGTGGAACATGATCAGGGAGGCTCCTATCTCATCTGATCAATTGATTCAGCAAGAATTTGCATCTGTTGTTCCCTGCGCAAGAAAGAATGTAAATAATAATCTCTGTACAGACGGGTGAGGAATTTGCCATGGAATTTCTTAAGGAGTGTGTTGGCACAAGAGGGGTTCCTGCTATACCAGATGCAGCTCAGATATCGGAGACGAGAGTTGGAATTAATCAGAACCAGAACCAACAGCAAGAGTATGAGGACATAGCCCAAATTCTTGGGTTGAAAAGAATGGATTCTGAGTGTGTTTCTGATATTTCTGATGTTGCTTCTGTGCAAGAGTCTTGTAGAGGGAGTAAAAATGGGTCTTGTGTTGAGAAATTAAGTAAATACCAGAAGGAAAATGGTGATATGAGAGAAGTGGAAAGGAAGGCTTTTGGTGAATTGAACTGCGATAGGAGCCATCTGAATGTTTTTGCACCAGCTTCCACACCCACTTCCGTATGTGACTTTCCTAATTCCAGAAACTTAAGTGGGCAGGGAGCTTCTGATGGATCCCAATCTGGGAAAATGAAACTTCTCTGTAGCTTTGGTGGAAAAATATTGCCCAGGCCTAGTGATGGCAAACTCAGATATGTCGGGGGAGAGACACGGATTATTGCCTTTCAGAAATGTCTTTCTTGGGATGAGCTTGTGAGGAAAGCACTAGATATTTTCAACCAACCTCATGCAATCAAGTACCAACTTCCAGGTGAGGATCTTGATGCCCTTATATCTGTTTCTTCTGATGAAGACCTTCAGCATATGATAGAAGAATATAACGGGCTTGAAAAGCTTGAGGGTTCTCAAAAGCTGAGGATTTTTTTGATTCCCTTGGGGGAGTCTGAAAGTGCATCTTCCCTTGAGGCTAGCGCCCTTCAGCAGAGCAATCCTGATTACCATTACATGGTAGCTGTCAATGGGGTAGTAGATCATAGTCCTAAGAAAGATTCTGGTGGACAGTGTTTACCCAACGAAGGAAGTCAACTAGGACCTGCTTTGGATCATAACCCTAGTTTTCTTAATGCCTTGCATCCATCTCAAATTTTCCATGCTTCTCAATATACTACCAGATCCCAACTTGAATCTCTGCCTATTTGTCCACAACCTTTCCAGCATGGAGATTCCAAGAGCGTTTGTGAACAAGCAGCTGGTGGTAACTCCAGCAATGAAAGCAACAGTTCCTTCACTACATCTCACCGAAATCCTGAGAACTGTGGCATAAAAAACCCTAACTATAAGCAAGTTCAACAGGTTCCTCCTGCCTTGATGAATTATAATCACCCTTACGTCAAGGTTGATGCCAGCCAAGCCTACCAAGCACATGAAGAGCAGTTACAAAACCCTGATCCCAGCAAAAATTCCGTGCCTCTTTCTGTTTTAACTGAAAACAATAGTGATTGTTATGGTGTGTTACATGAGAGGCCTATCTCACTTGCTGCTGACCCATTGAGCCTGTTGTCAGCATTTGTTGATCCCATGGATTCTTACCAAGGCATGATACATGCATTTTCAGATTCAAAGCTGCTGGAGGTTGGAGGAAGGTCCTATTACTGTTCACAAGAAGGAACTAGCCCATTTCCCCCTTTAAATTTTGCAACTACTAGATCACCTTCAATTTCAGTGCAGGAAAGGTTGATGCAACAAGAAGATAATATTGGTCTACTGAAGTCCAGGGCACAAAATGATTGGTCAGATAGTGATCCTACATCAGAGTCAACACTGGATTTGCTGATGTTTTCTCCAAATCCTGAAGCTTCTTGCAGGAAGAAGTCTATCCATAAGGGTGCTGGTGATAGTAACGACAAGTGCCAAACAACTAAAATTAATTCTAGCAAATCCATTTTCATGACACCTAATAATTATGATGAATTTGCTACAAGTTTGGATGCCAGTAACAGGTCTGGTAAAGTTGATCCAGGTGGGAAGCTTTATGAGCGGATATCCCCTGAGTGCAGTATGTTATACAACAACAAATTGTCTAGCGCAGACTGCAATCAAACTTTTGGTGTTGCTATTGATACTTGGAAAGAAGATTCACAAGTCTCACAGCCTTCATCCTTGGATATAATGGATAACATAAAACATCTACAGACATTGGGAAAAACCACATATGATATTGCTGAATGTTGTGATTTCAGTGGAAAAGTAACTACTGGACAAGGGAGCATTACTTCATGCACTGACAACCCTGAAGTTACAAGCTTATTTCCAAAGACCGTGGAAGAATTAAGAGGTGAGAGTTCAGCGGGTGATCTCATCTCTGTGTCATTGAATGGCCCAATGTTGCTTGAACGACAACAATTGCACTGCGTTGCAAGTCAAAAGGTTATATCTAAAGAAGATATGCTGAGGAGCTCAACCAATTTGCACCTATCTGCCATTCATGTTGACTCTGGTCTGTGCTCAAACTTGCAAAAGAATGACCTTCATTCTATGTTACCGAAGCCAGCAAAGGACGCAGCTTCTAGGAGAGAGGTTTCTCTAATCGATGATGACCTTAATTATCCCAATCAAAATGCTGGGAAGATGGTCCCCACAGGATCTGTGCATGGAAATTCAATTGTAGAAGAGTTTGCATTTACCCAGACAGAAACCTCAAGCATGAATCAATATCAAATCCAGCCAGACCCCTTAGTTATTTTGGATGATGTGATCACAAGTATGCCTTCCAGGATTGAAGTTTCATCTGCAATTGTCCCACCTGTGGATATGACTGGCAGTGATACTGTATCTCCTATTGCTACAGATTTGGTGGACATCATTCCCAAACCCGAGTCTAAGGTAAGACAAGTTAAAGGTCATGTACAGGTAACTTTTTTAGATGATAGTTAACTTAGGTAGCTTAATGGTTTTGTCCGTAGGATGTTGCAGCTGATGCTCAATACAAGGATGATCCGTTCAATGATGCCAAGATAGCTGAAACGGAAGCCAACATCTATGGCTTGCAGGTTCCGTACTGAACTGATTTATACCCGTTTTCAATAAAAATTTCTTGTATAATAGATTATCAGTTCATGCAGTCCAGTTTGGTGAAATATTTACCATTAAATTTTCAACTGCAAATATCAAGTTCCCCTGTTTTTCACTTGAGAAAGCATTCTTTTTGTTTTATTTGAATAAGGTTGCATTTAGTGGATCTGCATTGAAGTTCTAATTATGGTATCCTCATGATTTCAAACATGGATAACATGCAAAGTAACTTATGCATTAGTTTGTAATTTGATCTTCTTTACAGAGTTTGCCCTCTCTCTTTTTTTGCCTCTTCTCCATCTCCTTCCCTTGCCATGACTTTGCCTTCATGTATGTTGGTAATTGTCTTTAAAATAAACTCTAATAGCTTTCCTTCCTTTTTTTCATTGAAAGTCAACAATATCGCTATTATTACTTCTGGTCATATTTTCTCTTGTAACCAAAAACTTTTGAACAAATTATCTGCCCCTTGGTAGTCCCTGCTCTGTTTAGCTTTACTCGCTTGTAAAATTAGCTTCTGAAGGAAATTTAAACTTTTCTGATTCTGGTGGACAGATTATAAAAGATGCTGATCTCGAAGAACTGAGGGAGCTAGGATCTGGTACATATGGTACTGTTTATCATGGAAAATGGCGGGGAACAGATGTTGCTATAAAGAGAATAAAAAAGAGTTGCTTTTCTGGGAGATCATCAGAGCAAGACCGACAGGTTGAGTCTCCGGAGATATTTTTTCTTTCCTCCCCCCCCCCGGTTTTAACAGTTTGCCTCATAAAAGTAGGAGAGCTTATATTGAATTTCATAAGAAGCTTCATAATGTTAGGGTACAAATTTGAGGATATATGCTTACATTAAACACTATATCGGTTCATCTTGAAGCAATTTTGTGTTTGTTAATGTACATGACGCGTGTTTCCATTTGTGCTAGTTATTTGGGCTGTCAAAATTTCTAAAGAGGAAAAAATGGAATATAGTTTGCTGGTTAGATTCTTTGGAAAGTGCACTTGCATTCTGGGTTTCAGCCAAAAAATTCATTACATAGGTTATGTCATGGAAGTCAAATTCATGGGGGTAACCTTCTCTTCTTCCAGTAATCCATTTTCTTTCAGCGTTCTTTTCTTGAATTCTGTTGCTGTTCTTTTTTCAACTGGAGATTCATAATCTGCTTTTGTTTTTTTTCATAAGCTTGTCAGTTCTTGAGTTGAAGTTGTTTTTAGCAGCTATGGTATTTATTGCAAGAAAGATTAGTTGTAATATTTAATCTGTTCTTCTAATCACATGTTTATATCAAGAAAGATTAGCCTGTGTTTTTTTTATTGCTTCAAATTTTAAATAGTCTTGGGAGGAAAGTAGAAGATGGTTTTTTTTATTCTTCAGCGTGGGATTTGGGGTTGATTGAGCAATATTAGGATAACTGACTTAAATGTGAAAGAACCAACTGAAATATACGGAGATATTTGATTCCTTGTAGTAGTAAGATCCTTAAACCAATTTTGTAGTAACGTTCTTCACAGAAGTTTGAGTTATTTGCATGCCTGAAGCTGATGAATGTTTGGCTGCATCAGATCCAAGACTTCTGGAGAGAAGCACAGATCCTCTCAAATTTGCATCATCCAAACGTGGTCACATTTTATGGAGTAGTACCAGATGGAAGTGGAGGAACGTTGGCAACTGTAACTGAATATATGGTAAACGGATCACTTAGGAATGTCCTAATCAAGAAGGAAAGGTAAATATAGGTTCAACCTCTCAATTTTATAGTCCTTCAGTCATTACTAATGCACTCACTGGCTTTCTTGGTCTTATGCAGATCACTTGATCTTCACAAAAGGCTCACAATTGCCATGGGTGCAGCTTTTGGCATGGAATACTTGCATTCCAAAAACATTGTTCATTTTGATCTGAAATCTGACAATTTGCTTGTCAATCTAAGGGACCCCAGAACGACCCATATGCAAGGTACACAAAATGTTAAACACTGCTCTAGTGGGCATTTTGATTTCAAGGTGCCTTATGGCCCTCACGGGATATTCTAAACCATAAATGACCAGAGAAAAATTCTTAATTCTGGTTAACTCCAAAAAAAATTTGGTACAAGATGAATAGTGATCATATGTATAGAAATAGAATAACCTTAAACCTTCATGTTCTCCTCATAACTAGTCTATATGCTGTAAGGAACTAGTAAGGCTTATGTTGCTGAAAAGGTTTTCATCGGCTCTTCAATTAAAGTATGGCTACCTTGTATTGTTTCTTCAGATTGGAGATTTTGGATTATCAAAAATCAAGCACAATACTCTAGTTTCTGGAGGTGTGCGAGGAACCCTCCCATGGATGGCACCAGAACTGCTAAATGGTAGCAGCACCAAAGTTTCTGAAAAGGTCAGTAAAGCCATATTCTAGTATATCTTGCCACATTGAAGGGAAAAATAAGTACTCGTGAAAGCCAAATTTTATTATATTTAATCTGACAGGTTGATGTGTTCTCATTTGGAATTTCAATGTGGGAAATATTGACCGAAGAGGAGCCATATGCTGATATGCATTGTGGTGCCATTATTGGTAAGATTTTGATTTACCAATGTGCTAATAGCCCTTATTGTGAAAGGAAAATATACATGCCTGGAAAAGTGATTGAGATGTTATGGCATGCTATTAGTTCCACTGTGGAGGGCATACGTTTGCTATACTGTTGTATCGGTATTTTCTTTGGAGTATGAGGATTTGCTTGTGATTTTCCCTATTCTTTTTTCTATATATGAATTTTTCTTCTTTTATTTCTGGTAAGTCAACAATTTAGAAAGTTCCAAAAATCAAGACAAATAGGCTGGGAGAAACTATGATATACTAGATTTAAAAAGGCTTCTCTGGAATTTTTTACGCTTGAGTTAATAATGACGATATTGATGATCAATCAAATGTTGTTTGGTTGAAGATGAAGATCAGGAAAAGTTTATATTGAGTTGTAGGATATAAGACAGCATTTTCTCATTTGCTCTTGCTCTGTAAAAGTATAAACAGCATCCTAAACAACTCATGTAAATAAATTGAAGCCATATCATACACTGCATACACTTGACCATCTTTCCTTTCCAGTTTTTCACTGTCTGAAAAGAAAACAAAACCTTGTGCTTTTCACCAAAATGTGGGCTTTCTGTTTGATTACTGAATTACGATTGCAGGAGGGATCCTTAAGAACACTCTTCGACCTCCTATTCCAGAAGGTTGCCATCCTGATTGGAGGAAGCTAATGGAACAGTGTTGGTCTCCTGATCCTGGATCGAGGCCATCATTTACCGAGATAACAAACAGGCTGCGATCAATGTCTCTGTCGCTTAGGCCGAAGGGAGCTAATAATCAGGCAAAACAGACAGAGCCCTAAGGTTACGGTATGACTCGTCATTATACGCTAGCACCTATTTTGTTATTAGGTACACCTGTAAAGTTTAATATCTCTGACAGGTCCTTTGAGAATGTGGATAAGTATAGTTTGATCATCAATAGTCATTTTCCCCCTTTTCAACATTTGTCGATAGAATAGATATATCTTTATTTTTTATTCTTTTGTAAGAGAGTAAATTCGTGTCATAGTAGTGAAGCATGAGAGAAAGCATTTATTAATCTTTCCGACTGCTGATTTTGTTGAAAATAGCGTGTCTGTATATGCCATACAATTTTAGCAAATTTCATTATCAGTATGAGACTGTAATCAAAGATTAAAGAATGGGATTTGCAGATACCGAAATTCAAGGTGATAATGCAAACAACCGACTTCTTGAGATCGATCTCCATTTTTTTGCCATTTCTTACTTTTCATACTTTGGGCTTCTTAATTCATGACTAGCTGTTTTTTTTTATTACCTTACATCTATTCTGTGTATAGTTATTGGCCGACTTTGATATGAGAAAAATAAAAATAAATAGATAAGGGTATTTATGTCATTTTAATTAAAGGAAAAACACCACACTATTACTTTTCAAAATATTTAACATTTTAATCTGAAATATTATTTTTTTCACATGTAACAAATTTTAGTGTGTGTGTGTATATATATTAAATATTGAGCTTCTCTAAAAAATACTATTTGCCTAATCTGTTTCCAATCCCCAACTTACACAATGGAGCAGATAGTAGTGTTCATGCACACCGTTTTGATTCCCCCCCCCCTTCTTTTCTAATATACAAAGGATGCAAAATGAAATAAGAAGAAAAATTGTTTGCAAATAATTGGACCGAACTTCAGTTTTGCAGAATAGACTAATTTTTTCCACGGCAAGAATCTATTGTTTGTCTGCCCAGAATTCGTGGCAATCATAAATAAATTAAAACAAATATGATGCAAATCAGAGATAAAACTATTCCATTTTAATAGCAGTTTGCAGAACCTACATAAATGTTTCATCAACTGTTGTTAAGATAGTCTAAAATAGTGCAATATCCACCCTATCCCCTGACAATAAACATATTCCCGTAACAATAAGAATACTCTTTGGCATTATCTGTAATATACTAATATGGCTCAGTTTCCAAACTGATTTCACTTCTTGTTGCCTTGTAATTATATATAATATATATATATATATATATAAATAGGGCAGGATCCAATTACATAGTGTAATTTTTTTTTTAGTTTTACACCTTTTTAAAATAGTTGGACGAGGGAAAAAATCAACTCGAAAGCAATGCTTAGATGCCGAACTCGAACGAAAACAACCCCAACTTACAGGCTACAACGGTGCAGTCTGGACAGACATTCCAAAACGAACGTGGGCAGACATTCCACCTCAGGATCCCATGCAACGAGTGAATAAAAAGACACGTTCTACATAATTCCTGTGGAATTCATCGCCACCTTTTACGCCATGGACAGCACGGCGACAAGTCGAATCACCTGAGGTCCGAAGGTTCCCATCAAAATCTGTGATAAGGAAAGGTTGAGACACATTGTTAGCACCATCACTATTATTATTGTTATACTTGCATAAACAGCTAACTAGTGTGAGCTACTGTGGAATTCTCTTTTACTTTTTGTCGTGTGAGACAAAACCAGTCATTGTCTTTGCCCCCATTGCCATTAACGTTTCTCGTACCATTGATCCCCGCATTTAATGTCCTAAAATATTTTGCACCGTATTGTATGTATAATCCTCATTCATCTCACAATCTCTTGAATATATTTGTTAAATAACATTATTGGCCTAGGATCTAACTCAATCCCAAATGATCAATTTTGAGATTTTCAGCATATCTTTCAACAATGATACTATACAAAGCCTGGATTTCAATATATGGAAATCGTGAGTGCTTACTCTAAACCATATATGTGGCAGTGCTAATCAACTTCAAGAGTTTGGGACCACCCAAAGATCAATTTTTAGTCGTACACGTGTATGGAGAAAATAAATGCCAACACACTGCAAACCACACCCTGGTTCTTAATTAATACTTTTTTTAAAACTAAATCTCCCCTCTAAAATCTCCATCACATGAACCCATACCATTTTTTGCTTATATAAATAATCCATCCCATGTTACTATGAAATCTCAACGCAAGTAGTCGACACTTCTCTTCTATCTGCTCGGTTGTCTCTCACCGTCTTCCTTAACACCCAAAACCACGAATTTCTTTGTCTTCATCACCACAAGTGCCTCATTTATCTTCTTTTTTATAGAAAAGAATCTTTAAGAGCATACAGACATAACCAGATAGATCTCTAAAACCAGTCTTTTTTTTTTACCAAGATTTCGCTGTCTTTCACTCGGTTCATATACTATATATTAACGTCACAAGTTTTTCTCCCGAGCGAACACAAAAAATGCAGGTGAGATTTGAACTCAGAATCAGATAGCATAATCGAGTAGCATTGTCCTTGAAAGCTTATATTGATCCATCATTGTGAATTTATACCAGATTTTTCAGTGGCTCTTTAAGGGAGCTGATGAACAAGGAGTTCAAAATACCACTAGTAAAGGTAATGATACAACATTTAGCGACGTTGTTTTAATAAAAACGTCACTGCTAACTATTCTTAATAACAGATATTGACTCGATTTTTCTTTTCAGATGAAGAATATGAACCCAAAGATATAATTTCTTATAAGAATAATAATAGAACATCAAAGAGTAAGAAGTTTAAGCCAGTTATATTTCCGTGTACTAAAGACATTACAAAGGCTTGCTTTTACAGTACTATCTACTTGAGAAAAGTCGACAGCTCTCGTACGAGTACGACACATCACCACCACCACCATAACCAACAACAACCTCATTCCCAAACCATAATGAAGATGAAGAAAGGAGGATTCATCGTTGCTAATCACAAATCAGATTCGAGCAAAGTTTCACCACTGAGTGAAGCTCAAGTTGCAATATCATCGACAAACGATCATCATCAATGTGGTAGCAGTAATGAAAAGAAAGACAAAAAGTCCAAAACCATGTCCCGTATGAAGGAGTTGTTGAGATGGGCTGCTTCGGCCAAATCGGAGAAAGGAGCAAAGTTGAACAAAAAGGTACTGGAAAAAGAAGCTTGGATTCACTGAATCTTGTTATTTAGTGGCAGAGAAAGTATGATAACGAGAGCATTTTGAATCTGCTTTTTCCAGGTTGATGGTCGACGACTTAGTATGAGTGAGTCTCCGAAGATTAGTTTGAGATTGGACGTGGAGAGATGCTCCACTATTTCTTCTGTCATTTCTGGGGTTTCCATGGCTTCTTCGACAAACGATGAAGCCTCCTGCAGCGTGGTTTCATTGAATTCGACTGTTATACATGGCTTGAATCGTTGCTCCAGCAGGAGAGGGAATTGGATAACTACAGACTCTGAATGTAAGGCTCTACTCATACGGATTTTTCATACGGATTTTGAATTAAACACTATAAATCGATAAAGTTTGAGAAAAATTTAGATAATCGGATTGAATCGAAGTTTTGAGATATTTTGAAGAATGATTAGGCAAGGTTGATAATGTCATTTCCATGACTTCAATTTGAAGGATTTAATATGGATCATTAGATTTAAGTTGATTTTTCATGTTAAATATGAATAGTTGGATTTAAGTGACTAAATTATAATTTTGGAAAATTGCATGGGCAAAATTGGAAGATGAGAAATTTTTTGTTCATGTTTGATTATGATGATGTAAGGGATGATGAAAGAATGTTAATTTAGTAATTATCATGATATTCAAGGGTAAATTGGTAAATATATTTAAATTTTAAGGGTAAATTGGTAATTTATCATTTAATGAAATTTTAATTCCTTTATTTAATAAAGAAATATGAAGAAAAATTAAGAGATTTCTTCATCTTCTCCAAGCTTGGCCGTGAGTTCCGTGAAGGTAAGAAAAAAATTATTTTGATTTTTCAAGTTAATTTTATTAGGAGTTTGAATGAAAACATGAAATACAAAATTGATCTACATGAAATTCTCTATCATTTGGTGGTATTTGTTCATGAATTCCATGCTTAAAACCTTATGTTCTTGAATTGGATGAATCAAGGGGAGGTTAGGTTTTGATGAATTAAGGATGGATTATGATGTAGTTGATGTTGGAGAATCATTTTTATGCTTGTATGATGATTAAAACCACCTAGAAATGCTTATATCATATTCGACCATGTTTGAATTAAAATTGATATGGACTTGATTGTAAAGGATTGGAAATGATGTTTAGAAGTTGAATTCATGCTTGAATCAAGTTGGAAATCAAGTCCAAGTTGTTATGGTAGTTTCGGCCAAGATGAAATAAATAGGAAAATTTTGTGGAAAATTATTTTGAGGTTAGAATTGATGAATTGATGATTATGTAAGCTTTAGAAAGATATTTGAACCAATTTGGATGTTTGTTAAAGTTTAAGGACCAAAATGCAAGTTGTAAGAATTGGTCAAGAAATTAAGCATGCAAAACAAATAAAACTGTTTAGATTTTTGAATCTGGCAATAAATTTGAAAAATCACCAGAAATATTAAAAAATTATTAGGAGGTGATTTTTATACCATTGTGTTTGTATGTCAATCTACTTTTTTTTTTTTTAAAACAAATGAAGATTGACTTCGAAGTTTATAATGAAAGATATGATTTTTTTATTGATGATATGTCAAAAAACAAGAAAGCAGATTATACTCAAAACAAATTTTAGAAATTGGATTAGAAAATTCACTATACATTGTACAACTCGAATTATAAGGATTTCTCTATATGGTTTCGTATATGAATCTAGTTTCAAACTTAAGAAACGAAATTAAATTCCAGTGAGTAGATTAATTCAGAATAATGATTATTTAAGGGTAGTGCAAGTTGCCAGAATATGGAAATTTTAGAATTGAAGTGGAAATGGATTAGAAGTTGAAGAGTAATGTTTAAATGTATAATTAAAATGCTTGATTATGTTTTTGGACTCTTGGAATTGAATTTAAATGACAAAGGACCATTTGGAAGAAATTGGAAATGTAGAGAAGAATTTTAAAAGAATTCATTTTAATGGTTAGCACTAACGTTTTGAAATGGATTTAGTATTGAAAAGTATCGATAGCATTTTTATGAATTTTATTACTAGATTGTGTCTATGCTAGTAAGATACTAATATATGCTTTGGAATGTATGTGATGTATAAATGATGAACATGAAGATCGAGATCAAAGAAAGCTTAAAGCTAAAGAAAAAAAATTCAAGAGTGAAGCTAGAATCGCTAAGTAAGTTGCTAGTGAGGCATTTCCATGTAAGTACATTTTACTTATACTATGATCAGTATGACATGAGGAAGACTTGTGATGAGTCAACCTCGAATGGTTTGAAAAGAAGTTTATTTCAAGTCGTTTTATTATATATTTTATGTTATTTTTCTAAATGATTTCTTTGAACAATTTCGGGTATGAACTACCCAATACATTTTTTATATGATATTTTGATAAGTTTGTATTTATAATACTTTGATATTTAAATGACATGCAACTTTGATGGAGAAGCATATTATATGTGCATTGAGATATATATATTATATGATACTTCATGTTGTTATTATTTAAAAAGATTATGATAAGTGAATGATATATGTTATTTGATTGTGATGATGTTTGAAGATATTTTAGTAAGTGAAAGATAAATGATTTAACGAAAATGTCCATTGTAAATGCTTTGAGAGTCATAGGTATAATTAGCATGCCACAGAGCTGGAGCATTTAGCACGTGTCTAACATCACTTATGTGATGGTGGTGCTACTAACAGTTGTGTTATACTTAGCAGATATCTGACGTATGTGTGACGTGATGCTACTGGTAGCTGCATTATACTTATAGCATGTGCCTGATGCTTGTGTGACGGTGGTGCTACTATATGAAATTTAGCACTTGTATGACATTTGTGTGATTTTGGTATTACTATATGGTACTTAGCACGTGTCTGACGTCTGTGTGACGGTGGTGTTAAAGTACAGAGAATACATTTTATGGCACGCATATAAAAATGGTGTCTGCACGTATGTGATGATGGTGCGATGTATTCTTTATTATTGGCATATTGATATTGTGTTCTACAGTACTTGTGTGTTATATGTATATGCTCATATGACTCGCATACCTTACATTCTTAGTGGTTTACATTGGGCTATTAAATGAAAAAGTGAATAGTATATGATATGAAATGAAAGTGAATGATTTAAGCTACGAAATGAATTTAATGAATGATACATGCTATGAAATGAATAAAGTGAAAAGTATAGGTTTGATATGAAATGGAAATGTACTAGTTGATTGATATGATTGAAAATAAGTTATATGGTACTAAAAATGCAAATTGTTTACAATACAAATAAATTGCATATGATATACCTACATGTGATTTATGTGCTATGTATTCTCATTTATCATACAATGGATTGTGATATGAAATGATATGTGAACATACAAGTTGATTGATATGATCGAATAAAGAGCTTTTATTGAGAACTTTATTAGACATTGAATATCTTATATATGGTTCGATAAATTACAAATCAATTTTATAGAATGCTTTTATATTTTATATGTGTTATGTTTTATTATACATATGTTTTACTTTTATTGTTATAAAATTATAATGCAACATTAAGTGTATACTTAGCGTGTGATGGTTTTCACACGTAGGAAATGAAGAGCGTTCGGAGTAAGGAGCTAGGCCCAACATCAACTTTTGAAGATCAGATCCACTCCAGAATCAGTATGGCATCTTTTTTAATGTTGATAGTACTAGTTGGCATGTATACTAAATGGTTAAGATACTTAAAAATAATTATGTTTGAATTTGGTTTTGATGAATAGTATTTATCATTATTGTTTATAAATAAAGGTTTGTTGGTTAATATTTTAGTTAAGTGATTTTAATTACTATTAAGATGAAATATTTTATGATTATTGATACTAGCTGAATTATTTTTGAAAGAAATAAAATTTTACTGATTTTCAAATAAGGACTGGTTTGTAAGTATTATGTGACATCCTGGACTCGTATGCGGAAACGTATACGGGAAACGGGTGTTACATAAGACCTCTAAAGAAAATAATATTATGTTTCACCACTAAGGTTACTTGATGGGTTCTAGATTAGAGATTTAAAAATACTTAAATTCATATATTTATATATTGTAACAACGACAATATTAATAGATATATCTCAATAAATGTAGGATCTGTTCATACCATATAAATTTTTTTTATTTTATATCTTCTTAGGATCGTTGTATGAATGAAAACAAAATGTTGAATCACTAATAGGAATTGAGAAGATATTTACTAGGAAAAAATAAGGAGATAATCTCAATCACCTATTTTGACTCATCCAACGATTCTAAAAAGATGTAAAACTAAAATTTTTACAACAATAGGTAAGTGAATCCTAACTCATCCAAATATATCTCTAAGAATATTGGATTAAAATAAAAAGTGAAAGTCCTAAGGAACAAAACTATTTATATTTTTTGTTAAAATGATTTAGTTTACATTGACGAAAGAAAACATGTTAGTGATCATTATTTACCATAAATTATTGAAAAATTCTAAAGGAATTAATAGAACTGATAGTAGCTAAGATTGTGCAATTAAACTGTGTAAAAGCAATTTATACATAAAAATGTCATTCTCAAACAATGGATCGAAAAATAATTAAAAGAAGAGAATTAGACATTTGAAAGTGGTTCTGATTCAAAATCATTTATAAGGAAGCCCAATTCATTTTGGGCCTCTGAAATACTATACTCCACACTACCCTAAATAATAATTAAAAAAGAATTTAACTCGTATTCTCTGAATGGCTGTCAATGGAGTTGCATAAGAATTATATAGATTGATTCATTCTTTTAGGATCAAATGGTGGAATATGCATCTTAATGTAATCAGCCTACATTTGCACCCAAGTTTTCTTAAACATAGAGGAGTCGAGCATCCGAGAAAATTTTGGGTTTTAGACTGCACTGCAGTGAGCTTTTATCATCTTTTATTTTGGGATTAATTGTTAGCCTTGTCAAGATTCATTGTTGAATCTTGCAAGTATGTAAGGTTTGTTTCGGTCCGAGGACCTTTGCATCCACTACTATCCGTATCTTATAACGATTAAGGAAACCACTTGGTAATCGATAGTATAAAGATAATATTATGATCATATTGTTGTTCATTGATTGGTTACCGCTGATTTTGCACGTTTGTTGAATTTCTTAATGTTCATGGAGAAAATGGTGGGAACACGGACATTGGAAGATGACAGGCACAGTATAATACTTTTGAAAAAGATCATTGCAAAAGGATTAGTATATTTCAGAAGAACATCTCAGTGCCCTACAATCTTTACATGATAATCTCTTTCGTTGAGAAACTTGTATACATCAAAAAATTCAAGGTGTTGACAACTTTCTATAATT